GACACCCCCTGTGACCGGTCTGTCGGTGCTATTCCCATCAGATGTAATAATGGTAATTGTACGATCCTCCATGTATGACCGTACAATTTTTTGGAGGTATCGAGGGACTCCTCTGCGTCGTAGAGCCTCATCAACGTGCTTCCATGGTGCAGAGTTGAAGGCATTCTGAACGTCGAGTGCCACCAGGACGCATAGTTCCTGATTTCTTGAGRGTCCATGGTTGGTCCACTTAGCCAGATCAAGAACCTTATTGATGGCGTCCTCAGTGGAGCAACCCCTTCGGAAGCCAAACTGATTGGTACTGAGTCMACCAGTCCCCTCTAGGTGCTCGTTAAGCCTGAGTAGGAGGATCCTCTCAAATAGTTTCCCAGCGGTGTCTAGCATGCAGAGAGGACGAAAACTAGATGGATTAGATACTGGCTTATCCGGTCCTTTATGRAGAAGTAGAAGTCTGGCCCTTTTCCACCTAGCAGGAAAAACTGACTCACTTAGACATCTATTGTACATTTTAACAAATATATCGGGGGACCTATTGGCAATCAGCGAGAGCATCTCGTTAGGAATCCCATCCAGCCCGGTCGCTTTGCCCCTTGATAGTCGAGAGACTGCTAGCCTGACCTCCTCTGTGGTGATGGGCGGGCACTCATTACCATAATTTAAGTTGTAACCATCGGCAGCTGTGGTTGGGAAGTTAGGATCTACTTGACCTTCCATCGGCACATGTTGCCAATTGATAATTGGCATAGAGGGGAATAGGTGATCAGCAATCTCTTTTTCGCGTCTTATTGCCGCTATACCTGGTGGCTGTCTGCCCAACCGCCCCGAAACAATTCTGTATGGCACTCCCCAGGGATCATTATCTACCGATGCGCAAAGGGCAGCCCAGCTTATTGATATAATTCAACTTAGAGAAGGTAGTTTCTCACGGAAGATTCCCAATACTTTTCAAATGCATCGAAATCGTAAAAAATAAAAATAAGGCAAAACTTCCTTTTAATAGCGCAGATCAGTTTTTTTCACAAAATCCATTTTGTTTTTTGGAAGTAACAATTTAAACGAATAACAGTACCTAAATATTGATGTTGACGAAAAGTTAAAGATCGCGAAAATTTTTTCAAATTTATTTTGTAGTTAAAACTGTATTGATACTTTTAAGAATTTATTCAACCTTCTTTTCTTTTCTTTTTTTTTTTTTATTAAAGAAATAACCCTTGCTTAGCCATTGGGACAAGATATATATATATATATTATTTTTTTTGAAGGTGTTACATAATAAAACAGAAAAGGTTTAATAAGAATAACAATAAATGCCTAAATTATATGAGTACGTATAATAATAATAATTAGGTTGTTTTTTTTTTTTAATGATTAAATAAGTTTGTCCAGTCCTGTCTTCTAGCCGGAGAAACACGAATATGTCTGGTGATTGCAGAACAGGTCCCAGTATATCGTGTAAATCGCTGGATAGATTATTGCGATTTCTTGCATCGAGGTATGCAAGACATTCCGTGATAATGTGTTTAATTGTAAGTTCGACCCCGCACGTCATACACGAGGGGGGCTCATCTCGGGACATTAGGTAGCCAATTCAACCTTCTATATTATGTATTACTAACGTATGCTAATAGTAAAATACTAATACTAACGGTAAAATATATTTATTTTTGAGACTGATTTTAACTTTATTAGCCTTTAGAATAACGATTGCMATGATTTACCATTGAAGACAAATTTGAAACTCACATTACAGTAATCCAACTGTAGGTACAGTGGAACAGTACCCACTTACCCATCACTTTTAAAAATATTGTGTGTAATAAGAATTTTTGATGTTTTAAGATTGCTGTAAGAACCATGACTAATGTGGATATTTTAACTTATTACGATTACAATCTTTTTGTYCAAAAATGTTTTTTCATCAACATTCATAGAAAACAAAACTAATAAAAAATTCGAAATTTCAAATAGGCATTTTTAAAATGAATCCAAGAATATCTGAATTTGTATTAACAATAGTTGAAATAAATATTATTAGCATATTATATATTTATGGCGATTAAATAGGTACATATATATATATGTACCTATTTAATCAGTTGAAATAAATATTATTAGCATATTATATATTTATGGCGATTAAATAGGTACATATATATATATTTTTTTTTTTTATGTAATAATATCAACAATTTAAGTACTCATACCTAAATACCTTACTCAGGTATTGTTTTACGGTACCCGATTTTTAATAAAGTTATTTATTCATCTTTAAAGTGTAAAAATAATAGTTTATAAAATTCCAGTGCGTTGAGTTAAATAAACACGGAAGAACACAATGGATATAAGGAATTTTCAAAAGGTTTGTTTTGCAACTTAAACAACAGATTATGTAAATACAAGTAAAAAGATGATATGCCATGTAGAATACTCAAAAATAATTTATTACTAAGTATTAAAAATAAATAACCAAATCTTATAATTAAAGAATTTAACATGTATTTACGTAATAAAAAAAATAAATATTATATTGGTGTATTTTACTTACTGATGATAACCACCAATAAGAAAAAAACTGTTACGTGATATTTGAATAATTAGTTAGAGGTGCTACGATAGTTGTAAGACACTCTTGAGAATGTTCAAAAAAATAATCAAGTTTGGCTTGCTATAGAGTCATATTGCTGTCTCGTCTCTACAAAGTCCTTGAGTTTGGCGACGATCGTCGACCATGAATTGTTCCTTTCGACCTGAAAAACATAAAGTAAATATCTATATGGTCGTATTGTAAGCAAAGAGTCGTAATAGTAGGATGGCGTGCTGGCACGATAGGGACTCAAGAAAATATAAATGAAACAATAATTTTTAATAACAATTTTTAATAACAATTTAGAAAAATAATTAGCATTTCATTTCAATATGATTATTTTCTAGTTACATACATTATGGAACTATAATAATATTTATTTTWTACCGTTTTACAAGAATTTTATCTAATAACGCGGTCGGATTCGAAACGTTTGAAAGAAGTTAAAAAGATTATCCTCAAATACAAAATATATGAAATGTCAGAAACATTTACGAGTGTAATTACGAACGTATTTCGCGGAAACAAAAGACAAAATATTTCACAATATAATGACACTCAAAGACTATAATATCATATTATAATGTATGCCACTTACAAATTGATATTATTTTTACATACAGTTTCATAAAAAATAGGGTCTACCGGATTTTTTTTATTCTGCGTGTCTTAACAGTAAATCATAGTTACGCCATTGATTGCACGTCTATACATAACTGTGTACTTGGCAGTGCCGTCTTAAGGCATGGGCGGGCCGTAGGGTCCGGGCCCGGGGCCCCGACATTTTAAGGGCCTCAAATTTACATGTATTACATTTATATTTTATATCATAATTTTACATTTAAAAAAAAATATATATTTTTAATATAAAATATAAATCTTGAAC